TCAGATCTACTGAAGTTTGAATATAGTGCTATAAGAAAGTATGTGAGGGTTTGTGTGGCATATCAAACAAAGGTGTTCCAGTGAACGTCGTAACGTATAATGATTATGAACACGAGGTTGCCAGCCCCGGTCCCATTGGTTATGTACCTGGAATTAACAAATTAAGTACATTGGAGAGCAGAGTAAAGGAAATACATACTAGCTAATAATTTAGCATTTCTTATAAGGATACGATGGGAAGGGGAAGAATTTGACGGAGAGGGGATATTTTTCGTATAAATGTAGCCAACGCCTCATCAAACGTGGATGTCTATAGGTGTATGGTTTCGTTATTTAGGCGGATTGCGATGCCCACTTGCTCTTTTGTCCCTTATACTAATATGATAATCTATGTAGTTTTTTTTTTGTACGACTAATAGGAATAGGACTCAAATCACTTAAATTATAATTACACTTGGAATGAATAATGAATGAGCACTAGGCTTAGGGTTTACTAATTAATACTACTAAGCTTGGAGTTGATTGACGAGCACTAATTGCTAGGTTTTGCTTTGTGACGTCAATGCTGCGTGGAACATTCATCATCCAAGGCGCGCCGTTCATAACTACCGATATACCGATACGACTATTTGTACTCAGTGGACTGAATTGTTAACAGCCTACTGGAAACCAATGAAGCATTTATGAATACTGCATTATTAAGCAGTGCTATATAACAAGCGTAGGAGTTTAGACACAAGACGTTGTTGATTCTGATTTTGACCGACTTCCCAAAAGGAGGTACTTAATTCGTCTGTATGTCTTTTTATCGCAATAAAGTCGTTTTAAGCTGTTTCTTTATATTTTGGAATAGCATGTATAATATAAGTATTTCAAACTTGGCTAAGTTACATAGATATATGCCTAAGTTTTGATATTAGATTTAGAGCTGGCGGACACTTGAAACTAATCTATCGCACAACTGATTTGTCTCGCTTATTCCTAAGCTTATATGGAGGTGCGCATACAACTCGATTTAGTTGTACAACTAAACAGTTGAATTGTTGAAACAATCGACAATCGTACAACAGTTGTGGTTTGTTTAAAGATGTGCGCCCGCTCTCAATATTTGTATTTTTGTAGTGTATGACATTGAATACTAGATGGTGTTAATGGTCACAGAGGTGTCCTGCCATAGCCAAACCGCAAGGACATAATAAATCTTATAAATTGCTCATATTTCATCAAGTCCAGTACATCTGCCGACATTACATTTAAACCAGAGAAGTGTGTTTCACAGGCGTATTGTTTGTAAACGATCATGAAATATATTTTTCTTTAGTGTCTTTCTTTGTTCGAGTTTCGTGGCTCTTGTTTTACGTCAAAAACATTTTGAGTCAGAACTATTTAAGAAAATTTTAATATGTTTAATAGTTTAAATATTGCTTCTAATAACTCTTGTTGACCGACTTCCCAAAAGAAGGAGGTACTCAATTAGTCTGTATGTTTTTTTTTGCTTAAGTTCAACATCTTGCTTGCTTATATATTTAGTCTAAAATTTACATTTAGTAATTTTTTCACGAGTTTTCTAGAGTAGAACTATTATGTTTGTCGTTAATTCAGTGTTTGAGTGTTACGGCTGTAACATATAACACATAAATTGGTGTTTAAATCAGAATTTAGAGCCAATTAATTGGTGAGATATGCCAGTCATTTGGTAAAGTGAGCGTACATACACAGCGCTACTGTGTCAAAGTGAGTTAGTGAATGATTGACGGACACTAATTACGATGTTTGCCTCACTGAAGCCGACTCTGGCCTAATTAGATAATTAAAAGCATTAAATTATAACGATCAAAATAACATTATAAACAATTTTTAAAATCATTTAAAGCATAGTAAAGCTTTTCGGGTTGTTTCCAAAGAAAACCTATTACAAAAATAATTTAAATTATTTTTAATTTCGTTTTAATTTTAAACGTTTTGAGATAATTATTTTATTTATTTAATTTAATTACTACTACCTTTTGCGCGTATATAATTAAAGTTAAACCAAAAGTATATATTACCAAAACTATATATTCTTACAGACATCTACATCTTTTAAATTTGGCTTTTCCGAATTCCATCGATATCCATTCAGCAGTTTAGGCTACAAACTCTAACATCCATACATCTAAACTTTCGCATTTATAATATTAATATTAGAGTTCATTATATTTAAATGTGACTCTAAATATAAACTAACAAAATTGGGTCAAGTGTCGGAGCTATTTTTATTATTTCTACGTCATTACGTTAATTACTAAACGTTCTATTAAATAAAAAGCACAGTTTATCTTGTACAAGCTGTTCCCGTGTAGCTTCATCCGCATAAAATTATGAAAATCTTATATTATTGTTTACGTTTGTCAAATTATCTATAACAAATGTCAAAATGACATGACATGACCAACTTCGGAAATCTTGCTTCCTTGATGTTGGCAGCAACTTATGGTCTCTTACCACATTTGGGTTTTTATCCAAAATATTTACCCCCTAAGTTTAATGCCGTAAAAATATATAGCCTAAAGTGTGACGTAAGTATAGGGCTTTTTATTTAAGAAATAATTATTGTAAAATATGCTGTAATTGCTGACATCTTAGGCAACAAAGAAGTGTGTGTTTACGCTTTATTATAATAGTATAGATTATTATTTCTACTTCCTTTGTAGAGAATGAAGAAATATAATACAAAGGACAGTTTTATAAAAGAACATTGATAACAAGTAAAATATAACAGTGTAAAATGACTCCTATTGTCTTTATAAAGCAAGACAAGAAAATATGAGAATGTATTTTACGTGCCGTTCGACATTTATTTGATCGCGGTGTTACATTCTAACCTAATGTGAGTTTCATAAGTACGCAGTTTTTACTAAACATGTATAGAAATTAAATTAATATAAGGTTACTCGGTCGATTGAAATGCAAACTAACAGTTTATAGGGTGAACAATTATTTTTCCGAATAAAATATTTAATCAACTAGCTTTTGCCCGCGTACCTCCACATGGAATAAAAAAATACTGTGTCTATGTGTTCTTTCGGACTAAGCTTTATCTATGCAGAATTTTAATCGAGATTCAATCAGCAGTTTATGCTAGAAACTCTAACATACATCCATCTAAACTTTCGCATTTAAAATTAGTAAGAATATTCCTTGTATATCTCCTTATTCTTGGTCTTTTCTCGTAATTTAATAGTACCTATTTGCAACTTTTCAGTTGCCTATAGGTATATAACTTTGTTACTTGTCAATTATGTTACTTTAGATTATTTTAAGGCTTGTTTCGATTTACATTAATTAATTATATCTAGTTTCTTTTTGTATTTCTAAATCATGTATTTACCCGCATGCTCGTAATTACAGTGTACAAATTAAAATTTTCTCAATGTAAGTGAAACATTGTTTTTTACGAGAATAAATATCTTTAAACTTAACTTTTATAGTAAAAAATTTGGTTTACGATGTATTAAAAGATCAAGGTCTTAAACAAATACACATCGATTGAAAAATTTCTACGCGCTAACACTCTCACAAACAGCGTAAGAACATGATGAATTGTTACTAAAGAAAATTTCTGTTATTTATTAACTACGTTCAATCCGTATTCGTATACAATCCATCAGCGCTATAGTAAATATATTTTAACATGTAACACTTTGGAATCCGACAGGACAGCTTGTTTATGCTTCAACTCCTTCAAATAATGATTAATCTAACTTCTATGTAGTTTATTGTTATTTCACTATCGCTATGGGAATTTGGCTTTTGCTAGTCATGTAAATAAAAATAGACATTCTTCAAACACCTATCTGTTTACTTGACTGGCGATTTCAATTTATTTCTAACTAGCTGTTGCTCGCGACTTCGTTCGCGTGAAATTAAAAAATATAAACTATGTTAATTACAGATAATTTACCTTTCTAATAGTGAAATAATTTTTGAAATCGGCCCATTAGTTGTCGAGTTATTAAAATACATAAAAATTGAATAAAGATATATAAAAAAGCATTAGTTTACGAATTTCAACAGTGGTAGAGCCCGCTTTAACATCTTCGCACAAATGGGCCGGCTCGCCCGGTGTAATACCACGACCACACAGAAAACAGGCGTGAAGTGGAAGCAATTCCGCGTTTCGTCTGATGAGTGTGGTGCCGGAGGCCTAATTTTAACCCCTTTTCCTTTCCACCCTTTTTTATGAGGAAAGGATGGGCAGGAAAACTGGATTCAACGGTGGAGGAGACGCATACGCCTCTCTTCCTCCATCAATTAAGGGTAGGCAACGAATCTGCAATGCTTATGCAATATGGGCAGCGGATTCAGGTGGCCGCTTGCTCATTTGCCACCTTGTAATATAAATAACATATTATATTATATTTAAAAAAAACGAATAATATTTATGTATCTTAAACTGATCTTCTAATCTTGTCATCAATCTTGTTTTGTCTCTACGAATAATTTGTAGGTCATATTATACGCTTATCAAAATACATGGTTATAGAATTACAGTTTCCTAATCTGAAGTGAATGACCTCAAGTTAGAGCGTTTCGAGATTAGATTATATATGCATATTCAATTAATAATGTTCCGTAGCATTGTGAGTCAGTGCCGGAACTGGAATCCATAATTGATGAGGTTCAGCCCACAGTGAGCTAACGGCTGAGAAATTTAAGTGTTGCCTTTTTAACTCATGTTTTCTTTCTTCTAAACACCAATGTTTAGCTAGCTAGTCAACGTTGCAATTTTTTTGTTAAAAATATTAGTAGATTTTAGTTGATTTACTAATATTTCCTTTAACCATACCAACCGGCTTGTGCTAGGATATGGTTCACGTAAATAGTCGAATGGCGGAATTCGCACCCTCGACCGCAAGATCTGTAGTCCATACCCAAAACCATTAGGGTATTAGGGCTTAACGCTTAACTATAGCGTTATATTGTAATTTTTTCTTTAACAGTATTTTTTTTTGTTTCAGGTAATTTCATAGAGGAGACAAAAGATTTTTCTTGAACATGATAAGAGATTAAACCAAAAATGGATTCTGCAGAAGACGAATTCTTCAGCATATGCTTGAATCTAACCGATGAAGAAATCAATAATTTTGGTGGCTGCAACTATAGTGCTGAATTCGAAAATGGCGAGCTTCTCGAGAAAGTTGTGTCACGAGTGGTTCCAATCTTCTTTGGCTTCATTGGTATCGTCGGTTTGGTTGGCAACGCCCTGGTCGTTTTGGTGGTGGCCGCCAACCCTGGCATGAGATCTACTACTAACCTCCTGATTATCAATTTAGCAGTTGCCGATTTGCTGTTCGTAACCTTCTGTGTGCCGTTCACAGCTACCGATTATGTAATGCCAAGATGGCCATTCGGTGACTGGTGGTGCAAAGTCGTTCAATACTTTATTGTTGTCACGGCTCATGCGTCAGTCTATACACTGGTCTTGATGTCTTTGGACAGATTTATGGCTGTCGTTCATCCAATAGCCTCCATGTCTATAAGAACTGAGAAGAACGCATTAATGGCTATAGGTTGCATATGGGTGGTTATCCTGACCACCGCTATACCTGTTGGTATATGTCACGGTGAAAGGGAATATTCATATTTCCATAGAAATCATTCCTCGTGTGTCTTTTTAGAAGACCACGGATACAGCAAATGGGGCTTTCAGTTATCCTTCTTCCTGTCCTCTTATGTGGTACCTCTAGCGTTGATCAGCGTTCTATACATGTGTATGCTAACGAGGCTTTGGAAGAGTGCTCCGGGGGGAAGAGTATCTGCAGAAAGCAGGAGAGGAAGAAAGAAAGTCACCAGAATGGTTGTGGTCGTGGTTGTGGTGTTCGCCGTTTGCTGGTGCCCAATTCAGGTATTTCTTAATTTTATTTTCTGTGGTATACAGATTTTTATGTACTCTTAAATGATTATGTATTCTTTTGTTACAGATAATCCTGCTGGTGAAAGCGCTGGATAAGTACACGATAACGTATTTCTCTGTGACGGCACAGATCGTGTCACACGTGCTCGCCTACATGAACAGCTGCGTCAATCCCGTTCTCTACGCCTTCCTCTCGGAAAACTTCAGAGTCGCGTTCAGGAAGGTTATTACAGTTTTAAAATACTAAATGAGCCATTATTATATTTATCTTACGATTCCGTACATGCTAAGGATTATTGTAGCAGCTGCATTACAATGATCCTAAATATCGTAATTTCTGAATTGAATTCTTTTCTGAATTATGTTATTCTGGAATAACGAACTTTATTATCTTTAGGTGATGTACTGTCCTCCTCCATACACCGATGTTACATCGGGTCGTCCCCAACCTACGAAGACGACCAGGACGGGCAACGGTAACTCCTGCCACGACATCGTCTGAGAATCGCTGACGGGTCGCGTGCGACGCAACGAGCAAATCAGCGTCGTTTGAGCACAAAATGCGACCCCAAACCTTGTATTTTATACGTAATTGATTTTTAATCATTAAGTTATATTATGCTGATATTGAAATACAAAATAAAATATACTTGAATGTGTATTTATACAAAAAATTATTAATGGTTGCTTCGTACGAAGAAAATAAATACGCGTTCATAGATTACGCACCGTTTTTTAAATGCTTTTGCTATTGATTTATTCTATGATAATTGTATATTTTAGCTGTAAATAATAAATGTATTCATTGTAAATAATGTAACTTAAAAAAATTGTATATAGATTAATTGTAAAATATGTTTAATTTGCAATGGTTGTTAATGTAAATTGCTTTAAGAATTAGAAAATATTATTTAGATTTGAATAAATTGTACATAGTACTTATCTTATTTACTAACATATTTATGAGCCCTAATATGTTAGTTAATTGGATTATAGTGAAGTAGTTGAAAATGTAGTATGTTTATATAGCTATGTTACATCGAATTAAAAGTTTACATAATTACTTAGATAACTTAGTGGTTAGTAAAAAGTAGCTAACACTTTCAGACATCATCAAATATACTCGTAATGCTATTAAGTATTTAAAAGTAACCTAATTGCATTTTTTAAAATATTAATATCAATTGTAAATCTTTTATAAGTAGAAATGTATTCAAAATGCATTAATTTATAATAAAACGTATTTAAAATGTTAAATATATCTGAAATGTTTGTATCAATTATTGTTAGTTATATAAAGATAATCGTAATACTTTTTTGTTTTATTTAAATAAATATTGCCCGCAACTACTTCCACGCAATATTAAGATAAAAAGTAGTCTGTAATATGCCCGTCTATGTCAACTACCTTTCAGTGAAAGTTCGGACGAAATCAGCCCAGCTTATATGGAGGTGCGCACGCTCGATTTTTAGTTGTGCAACTAAACAGTTGAATAGGCTGTGAAACAATCGACAATCGCACAATCAGTTGGGCGATTGTTTCAAAGATGTGCTCTAACAAGCTGGTGAATTGCAGATAGGTCATTCTTTGACATAAGCCATAATGGACAAGAAAAAACAAATTTTCCTTACCTATTTCAGTCTCTGTATTAGAAAAGGATTGAACTCACTTCATTCTACTGTAATTTATATTTATTTGTACTTAGTAACGGGCATCTTTTATATTTCAATGGTAGAAAACCGCCCACGCCGCGTTCCATTTCGTCAGATTTAAAAGCATTTTTATAAACACAAATTTTGACGTTCTTTAGAACTACGTTTGTGTTCACAGAACTACTGCGCGCATTACGTTATCAAAACAAATATTTCACAACGAAAGTATATGCTTTACTGTTATTAGGAATTCAGTTATTATTTGTGAGAATTCTGTTTTCCATTTAAACAACTCGCAAATACTTTTTTGTTGTTCAATTTCGAATGAAAGAAGTTTATTATAATCTAGCATACTATTATTAAAAAATGCGAAAGTTTAGATGGATGGATGTTTGTTAAAGTTTGTAGCCTAAACGGCTGAAGGGATTTCGATGAAATTTGGCATAAACGTAGAGGATTATCTGGAAGATCACATAGGCTACTCAGTTTTTTTTTTTTAATTCCACGCGGACGGATTCGCGGGCGAAAGCTTGTATTATTATAGTAAAGCGTAAACACACAATACTTTATGACGTAGGATGTCAGCAATCACAGCACATTTTTCAACATTTTTTTTCTTTAGTGAAAAGCCCGCCCGTTCTTAGAAAAACAGATGTGTTGTTTTATTAATTAATAGACGACACCAAAAACCATTTGAATGGAAAAACACTGCTGTTCCCGGACGTAATCCGAACTGACATTATCTCTGCGCTGTTATTATTTTACTAGGAATTGATTTTATTATCTGTGCTTCAATATTTTTATACTGCGTACTTTTCGACATATGAAGTTAATATCACTAAATGTATACACGTGGGAAGAAACATAATATTTGAAGTGGGTGACGTCACACCGAAGTACTTCGATGAATTAACTCCGATTTAATCTTAAAAAATGTCATAAAAGATGATATTTTTTTTTCAAATGAATCAATATTTACTCTATTATAGTTATTTAATTCATAACTAGCTTTCGTCCGCGGCTCCGTACGCGAGGAATTAAAAAAAACAAAGGCGAGAATCTACATGTTCTTAGATTATCCTCTATGTCTATGCCAAATTTCATCGAGATCCGTTCAGTAGTTTAGGCTACAAACTCAACAAACATCCATCGATCCATCTAAACTTTCGCATTTGTAATATTATTATTAATACCAGCCCCCTATACGTCCCCACCGAGGGGCTCGGAGCCTACCTTAATAAGGGGTGACTAGGCCATAGTCAACCACGCTGGCCAAGTGCCGGTTGGTTAACTTCACACATATCTTTGAATTTCTTCGCCGATATGTGCAGACATCACGATGTTTTCCTTCACCGTAAGAACGTCGGGTAAATTGTGTACATATGAAAATTCGAAAAATCGAAAATCACATTGGTACATGGCGGGATTCGAACCCAAGACCTGTAGATTACCACCGACGCTCATATATTATTATGATAATTTGTAATTAATATGATATAATTATCGTGAGAAAACACAGTTTATTTTATCTCTACCGATATTACCCGGCCATGAGTTAATTGTTTCCAACAAACTTTATTTATCAGCAACTTTAGGGTCGTTTGTATCAAATATTACAAAACTTCCGCTCGCACTATCATAATTATCAAGAGTATTACATACTTACGATAGTATAGTTAATAAAATTAGGAATTTGGTAATTACTTTTTTTATAACATAAGGTGGCAAACGAGCAAGCAGCCACCTGAATCCACCGATATGGAAAGCGACCGCTCCTCATAGACATCCGCAGTTGCAGATGCGTTACCTACTCTTCATTGACGGAGGAGGAGACGCAGATAAAGAGGACATTTTCCTTCCTCTGCGTCTCCTCCACCGTCAAATCCACTTTTCCTGCCCACCGTTACCTCTAAAGAAAAGGGTGGAAAGGGAAAGGGACTAAAATTAGGCCTCTGGCACCACACTCATCAGATGAAACGTGGAATTGCTTCCACTTCACGGCTGTCCTCTGTGTGGTCGTGGTATTGCACCGGGCGAGCCGACCCATTCGTTTGAAGATGTTAAAGCGGGCTCTACCACTGTTTATTATATGAGCAAATAGTTTAAAACTATATTATACATATCGTTTCTATCTATTCTATTCTATTGGCTATTGGACCAAAATCCATTTCCCAATCATAACTTAAATATACGTGTGTCTTAAGCAATTTAGGAGCCTCTAAGAGTTTATACTAACGTTTCAAATCAACGAAGACCATAAATTTGGCTTAGATTTAGGAAGGTCTTTAACCAAAAACACTTAAGCATTCTATAGATTCAGTTCAAAAAAACGGACATAACACTCACAAAATAAAGGTAAAAAAACATCAGTGAACGTCTCATTAAGACTGTTTGGTAGGTCAAATGTTGATTCAACGACGAATAAATAAATACAAACACTGTTTCTGAACACAATTCTATATTTAGTTCTACTATTTCCACTAAAGAAATGTGTGGAAACCCACTTTACGAATTTCCTTGGTCATGACTACGCGTGGTAAAAATATATTTATGGAAAAGACAGGATTCATTTCACTGCGATAGACAACGGCCATGATGTAACATGACACTGAAGACGGTCAAATAAAATATTTCGTTACCAGTTCGAAACATTTGTCTATAACGTTTTTTGTATGTTCGCTGTCAGGGACATTAATTTCATACCCATTGTAGTGAAATAAGGTGAAAAGCAAGCAACACAAGTGCCAAATTCTCTGATGACGCGATGTGAAGGAAAAACATCGTAATGCAACCAACAAATTCGAAGATATGTGTTAAAGTCAACCAACCCGCTGTGGGCCAGCGTGGTTGACTATGGCCTAGTCACTCCTTAGGGTAAGCTCCGAGCCCCCGGGGGACTTATAGTGAGCTGGTGGATGTATATGACTATTAGTATGATTTTTTTATTAATCACTCCATTTTAAGATTACTTTATGTTTCCAGCATAGGGTTAAGTTTAAAATGAATTACGACAAGAATGCTATTCTACGAAAATGTGAATGGCTCGTTTTGCCGTAATGTTTACTAACTGTGGCCTAATAATACCGCTTAGGGTGAGAATAATTCGCAGTTGATAGTTACTGACGTAATAATAGACCAGAAACTGTCAACATTTTCATTCATAACTTAATGGCTTACGTCATATAACTATAATTAAATGATTACAATGACCATTGAAAACTTTCACAAAAAAGTAAAAAAAATCTAAGTGGTATAACATTTGTATGCGGAGTACGAGATCCGAGAGAAATGGATTAAGTCAACACGAACAATTGTTTAGTCCTCATCATTCGCAGTATTTCTGTTCAGAAAAACTCTTGCTACGAAGTACAAAGATATGTAGCCTGATATATTTAAAAGTAAAAGATTAATGGACTATCTTATGCCATAAATTACGTAGCGTAAAGACGATATTATTACAACTTTTAAACACAAAAAATTCAAAACAACACTTTTAAAACACCGTAAGCGAACGCCAATGTACAGTAAGGAAAAATGGCGATGTCGCACTTTAAAAGCTACAATCGTTTGAACATTTTAAACCGAGCCGCGGAAAAAAATCAATATAATGCAGCTTATAAATATTTATGTATGAAAAAAGTCTGTTAGTGATACACGACTAGTTTCTTTTCTCTATTACCCTTTCGTTTGCACCACTCACTGCTGCCTGATTTGTTATTTGTATAAAGAGGCGCAGTGTGTCGTAATGAACAAGGCAATTTTTTCTTGAGACCACGGAATTCCACGACTGTACCTGTGTAAATTGACCTTCATCAATTCAGCAAAAATACATTTACCTATCGACTATATAAACATTAACATTTAAATGTCATGTTAAATTCTCGCCACGCTACACCAATATCTTACATTATGTAAATGAAGGCTTACACTGGAAAAAAATATTGCGTGCTGCAGATCGTCCGATAGGTCACGAAGTCTACAAATGGCACTCCATTTCCTTTGAGAGTGTAATCGGACTCCGATTCACGTTAATCATGATAAATTGAAAGAAAATATAACCGAATCCTG